AGAGGCCAAAAGGATGCCCTGCTACCCTGTACTGTAACACGGCATCCTAAGAAAGTCGCATTTCCCGCGCTCCGCGCAAGGATGGACTGTGCAGCAAAAAGGGCGCATTGCGCAATCCCATGAGCATGAAAGCTCTTGGGAGAAACCGCTACTGGCATGTCTTCCGGGGAAAGGTTGTGAACTATGCCATGGCCGACCAGCTGATGGACTTGGGCCTCAGCAAGGCTGTCGGAAGCGGTACGGAGCCAGTCAGCAAGATACTGCTGGCTATCAAAGGAAACAGTGGTAGTGGTTGCTGCTGCCATGCATGGGCGTAAAGTGGCCCACCACGGGGCCGGTCCGCTGGTCCTGCAGGCAGGACGCCACGCATGAGCTGTTTTGGCTGCGACTATCTCCTGTGCACCAACATCAGACGCTTCCCACACCTGCAAGCAGGCAGGTTGGCGACGTAGGTGGTCACGGAGCCTCTTGGTGCACCAGAATTCTGTGCCGCATACTTCGCAACGGGTACCGTTCGCGGCAGAGGTAGCTCTGGCCTCGCAGCCGTGCAGCTTGCTCAGGTGGGCAGCAAGCGCAGCAGCGGTGTGACAGGTAACAGCGCACCGGGGGCACTTATGCTCATTCAAGGGGAGCATTTGCTTGCCTGAGTAGTGAAAGAAGAAAGCCCCGGCGTCGCGCGCGCTTGCGAGGTTCCTCCACTCCAGCAAGCATCGCTCCTGCCTGCTTGCCGCCTTGGCCCGGCACTTGCGAACATATTGTCTAGCCCACCGCCTGGCTGACTGTGGGACCTGCAGCAAACACTCCCAACTGCAGTCCCTGACATAGGCCGCACATTCGCAGACCGCGCTGCGCACACAATGATGCCATGGGCCCTCATCGAACCAGAGAGCCGCGAGAACACTGGAACCGTCTGCGAGGAGCCATCCTGCGTGTCTGATCAAGTCAGCCACGCGGGTTTGGTGAGCTGTGAGGACTCCCAAGCAAGCGCAGACTGCCTCATCATCGAGTCCGCGGCTGGAGAAGCCACAGAGGGCACGAAAGGACCGCCGCCAGGGTTCCATGTAGGCCTGTCGGTACAGGCTTTGTTCCCGTTGGGTTCGGAGCACCCATAACCCCGAATTGTGCCGCAATCTCGCGAGTGGCATGCTAAGGATCATATTGATCTTTTCAGGGTACGCCAGGTGTGGATTCCTCACTAGCCGCGATATGCCCTTAAAAAGGTCACGTGCCAGGCTTCTGCGTCTGCCAAGGTCCGCCAAGTCACCTCCAGTGGCATCGACTTCGGAGCCAAGGTGGGTATACCGCTCAGCAAGGTGCACGGTAACCTGGCCAGAGCGTGTATTGACCTGGAAATTGGCGCCTTGCCGGCATAACCAAAGTTGCCGCAGTCTGCGACTGTCGCGTCCGGTCACAATGGGCAAGAATTCAGTCTTGCCTTGTGCAAAGTTGACCTTGATCCCTGCGCGATGCAGGGCGGCATCGACCTCGCGGACCATGGCGCCGGCCTGCTCCAGGAGCTCAGCGGGACGGTTCGAGATGACCGGAAAAGCAACGTCATCCATCCAGCTAGGAGCGGGCAAGGCATCACCCACATCGCCAGAGGCTGTGGGGCAAAGGGGTCGGATGCCAAGCTCATCGGCCTTGCTGGCAATGTCAGCAAGAACTTTGCCAAAGACCATTTGGAACAGAAGGTCAGCCAAAGGTGCACCTGGTATCGAACCAGAACGCGTCTGGTAAAAGTGCACAGGATTCTTCCCAACGCAGTACCAGGTTCGGTCCAAGCTGGCAGCAACAAAACGTTGTACCGCAGGAGAAACTTCGGCCGAGGCCAAGAGTCCTGGGCCCATCGCTTGCAGGAGAAATCCGGCACGGTCTTCTTCGGAGGTGAAGATCGTTTGTGCGAGCTTATGGATGAACTCGGTGTCTTGGCAGGCGGCTGAGCCTAGCAGTGGTTCTCTGAGCAGGCTGTAAAAGGCGGATTGGCCATCGACAAATAAGACGCCGCCGCAAAGTCTGCGATCGACTATCCTGCGGATGAGACCTTTCACGTGCGCGCTGGCGACCTGCAAAGGGTTACCTGGCCTCGAGCCTCCTTGTGCTGGCTGCCGCACCTGCTCGAAGACCTGTAGCATGTCCGCTCGCAGCGCCCGGGCCACAGCCTTAGCCCCTGGTTCGAGAAGAAGAATGCTACGCCACCCGGCCGTGGTGTGAAGTGGCTTACCGGGCTTGGGAATGGGGGCAGCGACACCTCCCCGCCAAATGAGCGGGCATTGACGCCTGATCAAACACTTGAGGAGCAGGGCGACATGTTGGTGGGCTGCTTCGAGTGGTGCAGCCTGGTAAGCCTCCGATGGCAAGGTTGTCCAGCCGGCTGCCCGTCGGGCGGTGAGGCCGCTGAAAGCTCGAGCAAGCCCTGCAACGGAAAAGCAGTCGGCGACCGGGAAATCGCTTTCCGCATAGCTGGCCGCGCGCGTGGTGATGGAATTCGCTTGGCTATGCTCGGCCCTTTCGGCTTCCGCAAAGTGATCACCAAGGATTCGAAAGGAGTCTGTCGCGACAGAACCATCGGCTTGTCTGAGCGCCGGACACAAAGAAGGAGCACGATATCTCCTGCCCGTTTTGGAAACTCGCCGGCAGAGTCGATGAAGTGCATCAATGCCTTGTGCCCTGGCCTCGCAAAAGGAACTACGGAGCGCCTCGGCTGCATCTTGTTTGGCAGACGTACGGATGAGGCGGGTGAGGTCTTTAACCTGTTCCCCAAGGAAGACAAGGTACTCTGACCACTCCTGAGGATCGCCGAGGTTATGCATGATCCTACGCAGGGCTCGACGGTCCTTGATGAGCTGCCAGGTGCGCTCAGACGTGATCGGGTTCCGAGGCTTATTGGCCAGTCTGGGGCAGATGGCCCGCAGTCCCTGTATGACATGGGAATTCAGGATGTGCACATGGTCATCAACAGAGGTGGACCAATCTATGCGAGGGGCCTGCCTGTAAACCTGCTGCAAAGCTGCTTTACCGGCGGGGGTGCGCAGTACCTCTACATCAAGCCGGGGCGCCTTGGCTGTAGTGGTTCCGGGCTGGGTCCAGGCGAAGCTGACCGAGACAGGCTTATGGTCGTGATCAACGTGCCCAACGAAGTCACGAAAAGGCCCCTCGACGACCATGCCAGCACGCAGAGAGGCAGGGCAACACACATAGTCCAAGCAAGCCCTCTGTTCCCCCGGTCCGTACCACGTGTGGAAGGCGACGCCAGAAGAGTCGATGTATCCTGAGGCACATAGGGAGTGAGACGCCATAACATCAGCAAGACCCTTCTGGTTGGCATTGACACCGGACCGGTGCACAAGGTGCTCAGCTGGATCGTGGTTGTTAGCGTTAGCGTCCAAGAGAAGCACCGGGACGCTGTTGCTGGGCAAGCGTCGAAGGGCACTGCTGAGGTGGGTCCACCAACGCTCGCAGACTTCAGCACCGGCCTTGGTGATTGGGCTGTGTGCAACAACAAAACCGAAGGTAACCCCACCGGCTTTGGCGGTGGCCAGCAGCAGTCGGGAGGAGGCATGAAGGATGCAAAGACTGGATCCATCCCAGAAAACCTTCTCGCGTCCAGCTTTGGCGACAGGGAGATCCTTGGACAGCCAGAGTTGGCACCCGAGTTGTCCATCCGTGGCCGGGCCGTGTAAGATGTGGTAGTGCTTGTTGCTTGCACGGCCTTCGTTTCCGGAACGAGTTTCCTGAAATCCAACAACTGCTGCCCCCCTTTGGTGGAACTGGTCGCACAGGCTTTCTTGTTGAGAGATGGACTGTAAAGTCAGGCAGTTGTACGTCACAACCCGCATGTCGAAATTGACCATGGCCGTGGCAGGCTGTGCAATAGGTCGCAGATCTGTGATGCTGACCTTAGTCGGCTGGACTCGGGCAGCATCGGCAAGGGCTCCGTTGGCGAGGACATGAGGCACTGAGGGGTGCAACCCCGTCCCAGCCCAAATCCAGGCCAGAGTAGAGCTGAGTTGAGCCTCATGGAGAGCTGTGGGCAGCGCGCTGTTAACTTCGCCTCGTGCACCTGCTTTGGCAGCCGCATCAACAAACTCATTCAGGGGATGTCCCGAATGGGATTTTATATGCATCCAAAAAGGCAGCCGATTTTGGATCATCAGTAGGTGGCTCAATGATCTGCATGCCTGCGCCAAGTCCGAGCCATGCTGATCGTAGCACGTTGCGGATGCCACTGCCTGTGCCGAAGTGGCGTCAAAACCAATGGCGCAGGGGACGCCTACGCTCAAACAGTGTGCGAGGGTATATGCCATGGCTCCGAGCTCGGTTTCGAAGGCCGACCCGACAGCCAAGCCCAGCGTGTGGTGCGATCCCTCTGCCCGTGCCTGAACAGTGTGGTGTCCGGCCCACTGCCAAAGACCGCGGTGCAAACCTAAGGCACAGATCGACCACCCGCACTTCTTGGTATCCTCATAGAAGGAACCGTCGACGTAAAATTGATACGCGAGCGGCTTGGCGTCTTGGGGGAGCGTGGGGAGGCCGCTGAGGAAATGTCTGGCGCACTGAGGTACATCGCGAACTGTCCTCCAGTCGGCTTCGAAGCATTGCCTGCCGTACTGTGAGAAAAGGAACTGATACATGTCCGTATCGATTCCCGTAAGGAGCTTGCCGGCGCCAACTCGAAGCGGGGCCTCCGGCACAAGTTCATCGAGGCTCAGCTGCCGCTTCGGTGTGCGAAGGTGTCGCCGGCCGAAGGGAGTGGGGATCGAGGAACCAAGGACGTTGACTCGCTTGGTCGGCGAGGGAAAGGGATCCGACCTCGGCCCGCGACCAGAGGTATCCGCTGCAGGTCTCTCCGCAAGCTCCAGTGGGACATCTTTTGCCTCAATCTGGCTGCATCTGGCGCTATGTGTGCGCACCGCGCGCGTGGGCGCCCTTGTGCTCCGAAGATGGGCAAGACTGGTGCCACCAGGATTGGACTGCGAGTCTGGGGCAGGGGCTTCTTCAGACCCGGCTTGATCAGAGCTGGCTGTGGGCGGAGTGTCATTGGGTATGGCAGCCCTGTCAGAAGAAGCCCGAAGGCGAAACAGAGCTCCCTGAAAAACCTCCGTCGGGGAACAGTACTCTTTGCCCGCAGGTGCAGGGAGCTGCGAAAGGTGTACAGTAGTCCCCGGCGACAAATGTATCAAGCGATAGCAGAGCATCGAAAGCGGGTCTGAGACAACATAAGTTTGGTATGTCGCCTCCGGAACTACAACCAGGAAGATGGCAGCCGCAGCAGTCTCAGCTGCCGAGCCAGCATCGATGATGACATGCTCAGGCATGAGTAGCCCTTCTTGATGCAGCAAATCCTGCGCCTCCTGAAGACCTGGTGTAAGAGGTGTATCCAGCCAGATGTGATGCGGCGCATGGGCTGGCTGTAACAACCAGATACTTCTGCGTTTGGCATGCGGCGTGCCCATGCAGGACGCTCTGACCCTAAACTCTCGATTGAAAACTTCTGCAAGCGGCCTGTTGTTGTGCTGTACCGCAACGTGTGGCTCGGGGATGCCGCTGTGGTGCTTAAGGGCAGGGAACTTCACTGGAAAAGAGAGCAATCTGAGTTCCCTAATCCTCTCCAAGAGCGGAGCGAGATGCCTCGTGAGGACGGTTCCCTGCCCGATGCCGAGGATCTGGACGTAATCCCCAGTGGCGAGAGCCCGGCGAGTCATGGATGCCGGTATGCCGTTGACAAACACTTGTAGGCCTGCTCGCCTTTGTGCTGGCGAGAGGATGTCGTCGGGGAAGGTGTCCTCTTGCAAAACAATAGAGTGCAGCTGGGAACCCTCGACACCGGGATCAACCAAAACCGTAATGCCCGCTTGAAAAGCCGTAGCCAGCAGCGGCACGATGAAGTGGTCCTGTGAGGCTGCTCGCGGCATAACAGGCGCGAGCTGCAATCTAAATGGCTGTCGAAGTCTTCCCATGCCAAGTAACCCTCTAAAAAGGTCACCCAAAACCTGCCTGATGTCAACGTGCTCAAGGGGCAAGCTGGCAGATCTCACGGTCGCCCCGTCGCAGACAAGTACGAAACTAACACTTTGCTGAGAGCAGGCGGCTTGCATGGCGGTCGTGGTGGTGGTAGTAGAGAATGCGTGTTGCCATGTCGGCCTTTCGTCGGCTTGACGAGGTTTAAGGCGCACCGCAAGCCATTGCAAAGCTCGCAACTCTCGAGGGAGAGAGTCAAAGACCTGGCCGGCACAGTCCTGCAAGTAGACTCGATCTTCCCCCCAGGGCTCCGCAAGGAGCTCATTCAGGGCTGGCTGATATACCGCCGCCTTGTCGAGGACAGCACGCATGTCATCTCCGGGCCGCAAGGCAACTGGCAGGATGTCCAAACCCAAAGCCCTAAGGTCAAGCGGCAGCAGGGCTCCGTCTTCGTCCATCCCTTTCTCTGTAACTGTAATCTGCGGTACCGCCAGCCCCGGCAGGGGCACCGTAAGGAACTGCACATGAACTGGAAGCTCATCTGGCTGCCTCGCAGCCTGAGCGCAGAATTGCGCCATGTTCCATTGGTTTGATCCTTGAAGAAGGACTGGAGGGAAACCTCGAAAGAAGGCGCAGAAGGGGACAGTCTTTTGTCCCTGAGAATCGAAGTCGGCAAAGAGACAAAGCTGACCAACCGACAGTCTGAATCCGGGGCCCGAGAGGACAGCCGCAGGGGTGACTTCCGCCTCCGACAGAGACATGGGGATTGCAAAGCGATCCATGTCCAAGCCGATGTCCTGCCCAAGGAGCATGGGCGGGCTGCGCTGCATGGCAGTGGTAGTGATTGTAGTGCCGTCTTGAGTCTCAGCTGCCTGTCCGGCATCTCTGTGCTCAATGGCTAGCCATTCATGTGCGCTAACCGGGTCTACCGTAGTCTCAACTGCGCGGCCGGACGCCTCCTTCATGATCAGGTGTTCCGGACTAAGCCCAACAGTCAGGCCGCGCCGATCGCAGCCAGCCGCAAGGATGGCCTGTAAGACCTGTGGGGCACTCATGCCCGGAAACAGCCCTGTCGTGCAAACAAAGAGGCCGAGAGGTCTGACATCTATGGGAATGGCACACGCCCCCCTGTCGAGGCTGGCAGCCGTGAGCGTAACTTGCGGGCAGGGAAAGCCCGATAGTGGCCTGACAAGGAATTGCAAGGCGCGTGTGCGCTCGGCGGCACTTGCCACAGCGTCGGCAGCGCACTCCAGAACGGTCCAAGTCACTTCTCGTGGTCGGCTTCTTGAGTGGTAAGAGATGTCGAAGATGGTGTATCTGAGGCGCTCCCCTTCAGCGGGCGGTGTATTGGCTAGGAGAGCCACCTCATCAACCGGAAGCTGCATGAGAGGGCCTTGCAGCTCTGCAGGCTCAACTGGAAGGGCTGCAGCAACGATGCACTGGATATGGCTAGGCGCTCTGGGTCGCGGAGCTGCATTCTTCGAGAGGGGAAGATACAGCGGCGCCTGAAAGGCAGTCCGTGGACTTTGTCCGCCCAGGGAAGGGGCCACAAGGGAGTCATCTGGAGAAGCCATGTGGTCAAGTGGGCCAGTGCCTATCCGGTCGCTGCCTTGAGACCTGTGGTATCTGTGCAATGGTCCACGTGCAGTGGCGAGGTCTGCAACAGGGTCCGACAGGGAACCGCCCTTGATGCAGCAAGGTTGTCGTGCAAGCTTTTCGCCGCCTTGAGACCTGTGGCATCTATGCAATGGTCCACTGGTGGTGGCGAGGTCTGCAACAGGGTCCGACAGGGAACCGCCCTTGATGCAGTAAGGTTGTCGTGCAATCTTATCGTTGCCTTGATGTCTGTGCCTTCTGTGCAATGGTCCACATGCAGTGTCAAAGTCTGCAACAGGGTCCGACAGGGAACCGCCCTTGATGCAGCAAGGTTGTCGTGCAAGCTTATCGTTGTCCTTAAACCTGCGGCCACTGTGCAAGAGAAGGTCGTGTGCGGTACCAGCAACAGGCTGCATCCGCTGCGACTGGGCCTCGAGGCTGAAGGGTTTGTGTGTGGCCAGGAGACGGCCGTATTCACGCCGCCATGCGTTGCTCGAGCATGGCTCGCTTCCACAAAACTGAACCGTCATGGGGAGGGGATGCGGGAAGACATGCAGACATGAGTTCCTAGGACAGGCTATGCAACACTTTGTACAGGACCATAGATCTGTACAGTCGGCTCGTAGGTCATCATTGTCGCCAACCGCTGCGTAGCTGGCTTGGCGATAGTCGTCTTGTCTCAGACGTTCAACCCCGAGTCCAGCCCCACCCCAGGAGGCCTGCTGCGAGGGGCGACCGTCAAAAGACATAACGACAATCTCCCAGCTGAAAGTGTTCTCTGCTGTCGCGCCAGCTCCACACCACGCCGACATCTCGTCCTGCTCCCACGTAAGTCGTGGGTCCCATTGCTCAAAAACCGCGTCAGCTAGTTCCAACCCCAAGGAATCAAGTCGAACTTCGGCTGCTAAGCAAATGCCTGCCACGGCCGCCATCCACGGCGACATGTAGTCATCAACCTGGCGGATATCCTCTTCATCCTCCAGGGAAAAACGCCCGATGAGTCCCGTAAGGCTCGGCACCGGGCCTAGCGAGGGGGCTGCTCTGTGCCCTCCTCCTTTTTGGCAGTCTTGTCCACAGGTGCCTCCTCCGCACCTGCCTTGCCTCTGCGTCTCGGCGTCCTCTCTCTGGTGGCACCAAGCTCCTGTTCTGCCGCAGTCTTGGCCTGCTTTAGAGCCGCGGCCAGGGCATCCTCGCCCTGTGCGGTCCTTGAGGCGGCCACTGACTTCGCGGCTTCCATTGCAGCATCGGCTGCAACGACTTCCTCCATGCCATCTGCGTCCGAATCCACTGTCTCCAGATCCACAACTTGTGATTTCTGCGACAGTGCGTTCGTCGCTGCGGCCAGCTGCTGCGACCACTTGTTCTCGGACTCCTCGAGCTTCGCGAGACTGGTCGCCTTGGCCGCCATCTGCTTCTCCAAGAGCTCTGAGAGAGCCCCCAGATAAGTCGTCCACTCCGTCAGGAAAAGTTCCCTGGCGTGCCGAACTGCCTGTAGCTCTTGCCGAGCTTGTGTCTGTTGATTGACAAGTCGGTGCAATCCACGCGATGCCAGCTTTGCGTCCTCCTCGTAGTGCTGCTGAAGGATCGTCTGCACATTCGACGGCAGTTCCTCCTTGACCGCCGTGAGTGCCGCCACCAACTCGTTCAAAGCTGGTGCTCGCTCCGCAGCTGTGGCCGAACTGGCGGGCATATTGACAGACACTGCCTGCGGAGCCCGAGGTAGCGCTGCCAGCAGCGACTCGGCACCCTTGGGCGGGGCCGTCTCTTCCACGTGCTTGGCTTTGCCCTTGCCCTTGCTCTTGCCTCCAGCGTGTCCGCCCTTGCTTTTGGAGCGGCGTCGTGGGGATTGGGGTCTTTGCCTGGGGGAAGCTGGTGTGCTCCAACCTTGCTGCCAGCCTTGGTCCTTCCAGGGTGCAGTCGAGGTCTCGGTCACATACGTCGCAGTCGCCCAGCCTTGCCCGCACTTCGGGCAAAAGTTGGCGCTTGCCTTGATATACTGGCGGCAGCTGTAGCACCACCAGTTTACTGTCCTGTTCTGTCGTAGCTGCTCCATGGCCTTCGCCGGTAAGCTTGACGCCGAGTGGTGATCGCGCAGAGTCCTCACTGCGCTCACCACCTTCCACGTGTCCAGCTTTTGCCCTGTAGTGTACCCGCGAAGCGTTGTGCGAGCAATCGTCCTGAGTCGCCGAGCTCGGCGATGCCACGCAGGTTCCCAGGGAATGGTTGCAAGTGGCGAAAGCCCAGCTCACCAAATAAAACAGAAAAAGGATATGGAAGACCGATACAGCGCGTCCCATGCGAGTATCGGTCGATTCAATCTCCAGCGGTCGAAGACCGGGAGAGTCGCGCAGCACCCTCGCGAGGCGTACAGGTGAGCGCCGGAACGAAATCCGAGGTCGGGGTGCTAAAGCCGGCCGCACTTGCGGACACCGGCCAAGCAGTTGCGGGCACTC